TTCATTCACTATCGAAGAAAAATATGTAGGTTTTCCCGGCGCCGGGGGAAGCTGTGTCCTGGCGCCGGGCAAGGTGTTTCCCGGCGCCGAAGAAAGGTTAGCCGGGCAAACAGCCATGCTGCTTCTCGGAGACGGCGCACGCGCTTGAACAAAAAAACGCATCAGTCTTTGGAACCAGTGATACTGAACATGACATGTCCTTTCTGCTGTTGGGGATACTTGCTGGGATTATTACATCAAGGAAAGACCTGGAGGTAGATCATGGGGGGGAGTGACCTATTAGTACTAGTAGTAGTAGTAGTAGTAGGAGTAGCAGTAGCAGTAGCAGTAGCAGGAGCAGGAGAAGGAGCAGTAGCAGCAGTAGTAGCAGTACCAGCAGTAGCAGCACCAGCAGTTGATGTTATAACATGGTAGCAGTACTGCGGCTTCTGCCTGGCCCAGTCAAAGAACCAACCAAGCTTCCCAGATACAGGTAGCCAGCAGTGAACTTTCTCGCTTTTCGGCAGGGCTCGTGTGGCGAGCTTGGAGGGGGCAGTCGCCATCCTGGAGGCGCCACAGCGTTCAGCTTACTGAACGACGTAGAGATTCAGGAGTTTGGCGGGAAGTAGTAAGAACTGCCCATTCAAAGCAACAGTCTCTACAGAATGTCCCAACATCAAAGAAGACATGCTTGCCTTGGCTTTGCTGTTGGTGAGTATTTGGCACCCTTCTTCCGTTGTGGATGTTGCAGGTGAACATTTCCATGGAAATTCTGCGGTTCAGGATCGAGAGGTGTCTCAAGATGGTGTAATCCGGAGCTTTGAAAACATGAAAGCTCTCGGGCCCTGCTTAAGGACTGTGTCAAACAATTCAGCTTGCTTTTCTCAACATGGACTTTTGAAGGGGTCTGGACACGCAGGCTTGCGGTTTCCGGGGCGAGGGAGAGTTTCTCCAAGTCGATGAGGATTATCCCAGGCCTGGAGCCTGGACTGCTTCGGGTCTCTGTGGTCATACTTTGACATATGAAATAAGGAAAGTATTTGCTGTTGGCATATTTCTAACTGGCAAATAGGTTTATACATTGGTAGCTACCTCCCGGACTATAGCAGTTGCCCAAAATGGCTGTTGCAGGGTTAGCGTTGAACGCCAGGTTTAGATGCTTCAGTTTAGCTCAAGCTTTTTCACCCCTTGCACGTTCTTGCAGGGGTTGCGCGCCTTTGCGGAGTGAGGTGAAGCAACCCCCTCAAAAATGAGCCATAGTGGAAACTCCTTAAAGGGGTTTTACAAGGGCTTATATAGGGGCCTACTAAAGGGGCTATTTAGGGGGATACTAGGAGCTTAGACTAGCTCAAATGGCCACCGGAATTTCCCAATCTGAGGACTCACGGATTGCTTCTCCGCGATGCGAAGGCCAAGGTGGACGAGATCCCGGCCAGTTTAGGGGGGTTGGCACTCAAGAAGGGCTTGGGATGTGCAGGTGTAATGCTTCATAGGGCTTGGGAGAATTGGTTGCGCCAGTTGTACATGGATTAATTAAATGCAATCCCGCAGGCCAGTAAACAATGGGCAGATAATGAGACTGGCAGGGTTCAATCTGTTCGGTTAGTGAGGAATGTCCATGAGACAACCTTAGCAAGATCGACTCCTAGAGCGTTGGGGAGTCTTACTTGTTGAAAAAAGCCTCGCGTCAGAGATCTCAAGCTGCCACAAGGACCCACATTATGTTGTCTTGAAAGCAAGGTCCAAAAAAAGCCCGGCAATTTGCAAGGAGATTTCTCTGACACAAGAAAGTGACATCTTGGTCTTCTTTCAAACTGAGTTCAGAGAGTGGCAACAGTAGTCTCAACCATGGTCGCAGCACTGGCGATGGCATCGTGACCTTATGTGCAGTCAAACTAGCCATCAATGATTGCAAAAACTGATGCTGTCATCCTCGAATTGTGTTGGCCCAGACGTGCACCTAAGCATAAGCCCTCCAAAAGACCCGGGTGCGAGTGGTAAACCCTAAGAAGCTGTCATTGACCAACAAGACTTCACCAGACGGGACGGTTTTTAAACTTACGGGCAGCAAAGTAAAGTGTTCCGAACGGAGCAGGTGGGTTCCTTGCCGAAGCATCCCAGTCCACTCCCGGACTTGACTTCAAAGGGGGTTCGTGTTGCATGGATACAAAGACAAGGACTCAAAGGCTCCTGTAATCTCTTGGCTTGCATAATCCCAGCACTCGGATCTGCTCTGAAGCTTTTTTGGGCAGAAGATCCCGAAAGCTAAAGCTGTCTGGACAGATGAAATCCTGAGACGTTTTCAAAGCATCCCGTTTCCATCCTGAGGCCCCCAAGTATGCTGGTAACTGCGACAAGTAGTATTCGCACATCCTTAGGAACCGTCAGGAGTTCATCCAAGACATCACTCCGACCTCCCCATATGCCAGGTAGTCCTTGGAGAATTGGAGAAAGCAGGGTACACGGGCTGAGCAGTCCCTGTTGCCTTCCGGAGCTCGGAGGGGTCAATAGGATTGAAAGAGTCGTGCATGAAGTGTCACATCGTAGGCATTTCGGAGATGTTCAGGACATGTTCAGAAGGTTTCAGGATTTCAGGAAAGAACGTATGCGGGGATTCTGATATCACTTCAAGGTGTGGCCTTGCAGGGAAAGCTTTCAGGCCCTCTGGTGGGCGGATAGTGCTCACAACCCAGGAAAGGGTTTCCTCGACCAGCTTCCGAAAGCAGGGGGCCAGGTGCGGAGCTTCCCCCCATTTTAAGGGTTTCCCAAAATCAGGGATACTTTTTGGGGGATCCCATGATAGGGTTCCGTGTTTTTTTTTCCTAGGGTTGGCTTGGGCTCTGGAGTAAGGGCTGGCCCCCTGGTGTCGGGGTTCTTTAGTCCCGTAAACTCCGGCCCTCCGGTCCCGTGGTCCTCTGGTCCCATGGTCCT